GCAGAAACCCTGATTCCTGCCAAGGGGCGTCTGAAAGTGATGCCGCCGGTGAGTCTAGAAATGTTGGAAGCAGACTACCAAGGTTATGTTCTGAGTTTTGATGGCGCTGCGAAGGTTTCCACTCGCCGAGGAAGTTGTGGATGCATACTGTGGAAGCTGCCATGATGGCGGTTGTGAAAGCTGAGGGACACATCCTTGAGGGTGTGACAGTCAACGATGCTGAATACCATGGTTTGATTCTGGAACTAAAGCTCGCTAGGAAGTATGACGTCAAGGAACTTGTGGCAGTCGGTGATTCTCGAATCGTCGTTCAGCAGGCTCAGGGTCTGATCAATTGCAACCAGCCCAACCTGCACCGACGCTTAGCCGAGTATGAAGATCTCAGAAAGAATTTTGTGTCGGTTAAGTTGATTCATGTCAAACGTGAGTTCAACCAAGCGGCTGACTACCTAACTTCTAAGACTCTCGTGCTTGGAGAATCCTGGGAGCTTGACAACCTTGACGAGATAGTGCATCTACGTCTCGTATCTAGAATTCCTGAAAAGATCATGAAGCCTTCGGAATTTCCAAGTACCCCTGTAACTGATGCAGTTCGTTCGGATCAAGTCAAACCCGAAGTGGATAGTCCTGATACCGATACCGGGATACCAGGGTCCTTAGCTACTGCTGCGGAAGCAATGATGGTGATGACGAGGTCGCGAACAGAAGCAGGCGTAGGTTCTCGGACTCCTGTAGACCAGTCCGGATACCAGGATGAACGTTGGAGGAGAATTAAGGCTCACCAAGATGAAGACAGGTGGATTCAGCAGATAGGTCCTAAAAGGAGACGTGTCAGAGCTGCCACGGAACCAGGTCAAGGAGATTGCGAAGGTCTCCGATTAATTTGTGTTGGATTCGCGAGGAGTCCTTTATAGGCTGAGCACACCCACTCCTGAGAGGCCCCGCAACAAGCAGTCAGAGCTCAGGTTGGTAGTCCCAGAGACTTTACGTGCCGACATGTTGCATTACTCGCACGAGGACTTCCAAGGCGGACACCAAGGAATCAACAGGACATTTGAACGATTACGCTCGGAGTTCTACTGGATCGGGATGTATGCTGATGTACAGAAGTTCGTGAGAGAATGCGTAGACTGCGCATCAGCCAAGGGGCGACCACCGGCTCTCGGTCCGTCACCTGGCAATATCGAACCGAGATATCCGTTTGAGGTGGTCTCTATGGATTTTGTCACTGAGCTACCTGAGTCCGATCGTGGAAATACGTACTTGTTGCTGTTCCAAGATCTATTCTCAGGATATATCATGTGTAAGGCCATGCGGAACACCGAAGCCCAAGATGTGAAGCCCAAGATGTTGCCGGGGCATACGAAGAGTGTGTATTCAGAAGATTTGGAGCGAGTTCAATGATCAGACATGATCAGGACCCCCG